TTGAGTGATGTCACCCATGAAATAGTCCAGAGTGTAGGAGCACTCTCACAGCAGTGGATGGGTTACTTACTTGACTGTTTTTTGCTTTGTTTCACTGGACATTTAGGATTTATCTTAGACTTCTGGAAGCGCTTTTTAGGAAATCTCATGCTAATCCAATGTTTTGGGGTGGATGGAAGCAGGCAACCCTGGCACTTCAAAGTACGATTTGCTGAAGAAGGGCACAGTTCTGTTCACCCAAATACACACTATTAATTTTATTTTTTTTTACTAGGGAATGTATTGGCCTCAACTGGCCTATTTTGCTTTTGTTACTTTTCTTTTACTCTTGCTGTGATGTTGCATTGGCTTTGAGCTTTGAGTCCTTGGTGTTTGTGTTCAGGTTATTTTTTTTCATTACCCTTTGTAAGTATGTCTTGCTTATTCAATGTACCTGTGTTTCTAATTTAAGTTTTCTTAGTTCACTCTTTGACCACAGCTGTGCCAGAGTGAGGCACTCAGGGCATCTTGTCACTGGGATACCAGCAGAGAAATTTCTCAGAAAGCTCCATGAGGAGCACTTTTCTCAGAGGGTGAGAGAAGAGCACTAGAAAGGGAGGAATGATGAAGAACTATTTTCCTTTACAATGAGATTTTTTTTACAACAAGAATCAGTAGGAATGCCCAGCCTGATCTATGGTCATCATATGCCAAGTGATAGCTCAGGCATTGTATAAATCATTGTGAAAGATCAAGAGGTGTTTCAGGAAAGGATGCAATATTTTCAGCCCAACAGGCAGAAATAAGACTGAGATAATGTATATGATGGCTACGGCATGTCTGGGCAATGAAGGTATGCATGGACTCTCACAGTGAAGTGAATCCTGCTGTTTCCAGTTATGGTCCTGTTGGCCGAGTTCCTTCCTCAGCAGAAGCTATGCAGTGCACTACTTAATGCCCACAGGATTTAGGAAGCTGGTATCTAGATGAACAAATTAAGTCTGTGATCTCATAGCAAAGCAGCCTATTGCAAGCTCTTTGAGCATGCTGTGAAATTTATGGCCATATAAAAAAAATTATGAAGACAGCAGGGACTGTGCAGTACTGCTTACAGAGCAGGTCAGTACCTCTGTACTGGATTGCCCCAAATCAAAGATACTCTGTTTTCTAAATATTTCATGCAAACCTGTTATTTACCAGGGTCTGCATTCTGCTGCAGTGACAGCCGTTTTCTATTCACATTAACTATGACCTCCACTGTGAGAACAGAAGATTCATTGTGACCAGTGTCATGGACTTTTGCAAAGTTCAAGAGATCATACAGCAAAGCTGTGGATGACACCTATGATGGGAGTGTGTGACTCACGACATAATACACTAGCTCTGAATTTCCCCACCTCTAGGTGCTTTCCAAACAGCTTGTCTAGGGTTGAGTTGTCCAGACTTCAGGGGATGATGGCTACATTCTTGAACACTAGAACAGCAGTGTGGAGACACTGTAGATAGATTAATGCCAGACATTGTTGAAGATGGCCCGTTGCATGTGGATGTTCTCTAGTTACTACTGATTTCATAGTGTAGAGGAAAATGAGCTATTACAGCCTTTCCTTTCTCCTTCAGAAATGGCATTTCTGCGTGATACGGACTGCAAGGTTGAGGTCATGACCCTGTCTGCCATGAGAGATTATCTGCAGCCACCTCCAATGATAAAAACCTGCTCAAGCTTCTGGCCCTGTTGTGCATAACCTCTCACAGTGTATACCATGCTGGATGATCGATGCTAAGTGGTTGGTCAGCCTGTTCAAAGCTTATGGTCCGAGAAAGTCCTGCTGTGGGGAGGTGCAGAAGCCAAAGACATCTAATTTGGCCCTTGATATATGTGTGAGGACAAAATTAATGTTCTGTTGACAAATGAGGACCAGCAGTGTGAACTCAGTTTGGCGTGAGTGACTTAGTTTGGCAAATTCAAAACCAAACTCAGTCCTGACTATCAAAGATTATGGAGATACAGTGTGAAAAATTGCCTGCTTCTTGAGAGGCCATAAAAACTTCCTTGCTTCAAGCTTTTCCTCAGTTCAGTGTATAACTGGGGATTTTAGATCGTCACTGGGAGTGATAAGGACAGTACTGACTTTTCTGGACCTACCTAATAATTTTAACTTCTCAGTATGCAATTGGCCTGGGCAGTGTTTTTTTGCAGACGCTATTTTTTGCTTTTGTTCTTCATAACAACCTTTTATCTTGAAAAGTATGCTGGAGGTTGTAAAGTGTGTGTTACTGTAGCTGAACAGGAGCCCACGGCACATAATCATTCAATGCAGCAAGCTAGAATTCGAAGTGAAATATAAAAATGTATTTCCTCTGTGAAGCAGAGAAAGAAGTTGCATTTCTTAATGTCTGGTACAGAGAAGAAACAATCCTCTCTTGCCTTTCCCCTCATACCCCTTCTATAAGCAGAAAACGAAGAAGTCCTGCCAGCAATGCTGTGCAGAGTTGGGTGGCATCGCTCTGTCTCAGTAATGTGTGTTGCAAAATAAAGGACAGGCTACACTGGACTAGATGTTGCAAAGTGGCTCATGTTGGTTTTGGAGATGCAAGTTATGTTAAGTTAAATGAAATCCTCAGCTTCTTCTGTTAATCCCCAGGATGCTGGGGCAGTGCTGTACTTTCACAAGAAGTGAACTGAACTCTAACCCAGACAAACTCAGTTTATAACAACTCCAGAAGCATGTATAATATCTTGCTGTGTTCCAGTATTGTAGGTCAAAAATACAATTGAGTGCTAATTATGCTGTTTAATGCAACCATTTCAGAAGTCTATTTCTAACCTTTTTGAATGGTTTCGCATTTTCTTTTTCTATTAGTAGCACATTTTCTGCTCCCTTCCCTCCCTATTTGACATTTCAGAATGAATAACGAAGCAGTTTTTTAAGTGCATATGCATTTCCTCAAGGAAATGACACACACTGGTCTTTGCATGCATGCCAATGAAGCATGCATAAAAATACGTCTGCCTTTACTTGCATACATGCCAAAGTCTGACCTTCCATGCTATGAACTCTTGCTCCAAAACGCAAATGCATAATTCAAGAGAACTGAAACAGAATATTGTTGAGCATAACTTCTGGGTACATGGTTTCCCTAGCAAACTACGCATACTCGAGTTACATTTCTAAACTGTCTGTGGACTTGGAGATGTGGGTTCCTCAGAATGAGGACAAGGAAAATCAGTACACCCAGTGGCCAGAGCCGCCTGCATGGGCATCAGACAAGCATTGGGGACTGTGTTCTTTCTGGAAAACTTCTCAGCTAAAATGAGAACATTTACCGCCATGTAAATTTCAGATATGAAAGTGCAATATGTGAGAAAAACCACCTTTGAGGATCTCAAGAGTCTATATGCATGAGAGAAGTACTGTAATGAATTGGCTTTCTGAAGTAAACAATTCTGAGTATGTGCCAAAGTTGAGCTTGTAGAAAAGTCAGTGGGGTTCAGGTACTGACAGGTGAGATGGTAGCTGAACAAATGTTTTGGGGATTGAATATTGCTTAGCTCTAATTAAGCCTAATATGCCTCATTTGTGTTCTTTCTTCCCAGATGCTGGTAATACACTCAAGGGATACTGTTATGGTGCCAACCACAGTATTGAATATAACTGAACCTATTTATAAAGAATAAAAATAAACATTCAAAGGTAGAGGTAGTAGCAATCAAGCCATTTTGTGTCTCATTAGAGTGTGAAGAAGCACAGCCCATCATGCCGCAGAAGAATGGTGTTCAGGAGTCCAAATATGCACACTTGTGCTTGTGTGCATATTTGTTTTCCTTTCCTACACGGACACAGCCAAGGTTGATGTATAAAAAGAAATGCCTACACACAGACTGGTAGCCTGTGACTACTAGTGTCCAGATTTTTCTTTTACTCTGCTGAGTATTTGTCCTATTTGGAGGTGTCATGGGAAATATTCTTCACATTGTTTTACAGCCCTTGGTAGCTGAAGAAAATGAGACTTTATTGCAGTGGAAAAAAACCTCCACCCTGCTGCAATTATTTAGCTGTGTGCGTGCATTCAGATGTTGATATGCCTCTGTTACAGCATGGATTTACTGTCAGCTATGGCTACTGGGAAAAGCCTTGCTCCTCCTCAAATTACCACCTAAATTTGCCTCCTTCCATGCAACGAGGAATTCAGTCATCACTGCCGGCTCTGACAGATATCACCAAAGTGCTGCTAGAAATGATGCAGAGCTATTCTAGGGGGATAGCTTCAATATTTTCTTAAATACCATATTGCAAAATTGTGTGAATTAGCCGAATGTGTCTTCTGGAATTCTCATAGCATTATATGGAGGCTTTATTACTTCTGTAATTCACTCTTCATTGACTTCTCAGAAATACTATAAGGTGTGTTGAAAAGTTGTACAAAGAATGTCTTAGGAGACATAAAGCAAAATTTTTCTACAATTGCCAGAATTTTCTAAAGGCTAATTCAGTGCAGTGAAAATTTCTTTCATACAGATGTGTTTTTGTATAAAAATCAGACTTCACAGTTAGTGTCCTATAGCTCCTACAGCTGAGATAAGACTTTTCAAAGGTTCTAATGTCTTTGGTGTCTTAGAAATGTTCTCTTAAATTGTTCATTTGAATGTGACCTAGATCATAGTCTTTGGTACATCATTATAGTTTATTTCTTTCTTATTTTTTATTATTTATTTCTTAATTCATTTGCATCTTCAGTGAAAAAAATGAAATTAAGAAGAAGAGTGATACACTCCAGCCTAATTTTGCAACATGCTTAGTACTAGCTACTACATTTCTTTTTACTAAGGATATGGCTGACTGCATTCCTATTTTGAATTAAATGATTTGTTTGTACACTTAATTTTCTTCAATCTCTTTTCATCGGCAGAAAAGCACTGATGAAGCACTAGCTGACCATTAGAAGACAGATAAAATAGAATGATGCATCTTCATTACTATAGTATTCATTCTGAACTAATTTTTTTTTTCCCCTTGCAGGACAGTTCTGTTTACTCTGACCTCTGTAGTTGTGCTTGTCATCACTACTGACTGGATCAGCTGGGACAAGCTCAATCGTGGATTTCTGCCAAGTGATGAAGTCTCCAGAGCCTTCTTGGCTTCTTTCATCTTGGTGTTTGACCTTCTTATTGTCATGCAGGTACAATCTCCTAATGTTCCATTTAAACTGCTGAGGCTGCCTAGTCACTCTGTTTCCTCTAGAGCAAATGATGTTTAGCTAAGACAACATAAGGGTAAATAATTTTTTAGTCTGTAATCACTGTTAGCAGGGGCATTTTATAACACCATTCTCAGTGACTTTGCAAAAAGCCCACTTTATTGTGAAAACATTGCTAATTTCTCTTCTTGCATGACTTTCCAAATTAGAAGGTGGGGGTTTATTTGCAAAAATGGCATCAGAAAAAGAAATGGAAGCTAGTTGGTTTGTAAATTCAAAGCTTCTATTAGGAAGACAGAGGAAGTAGGCAAAACAAGAAATAAACATTTCCATATTTCAAGCACTTACAATATTAGATATGCACGCATTACAGAATTTTAATAGATCAAAATTACTGTTTGCTATTAACATTCCACTTTCAACTTGCACATGAAGATTTCTTTACACTGATGACAGGTCCTTGTACTATAGTGTCTTCTGCCAGCGAGGTTAACTGGGGAGATGATTCCCAGTACTCTGCCTGACATCTGCTCCTTTGAATCTAGCTGTTAAAAAAGGAATCTGGGTCACAATTACATGGCCAAAAACCTCCTTCTTGTGATGCCACGTTCTACCCTTTGCATTTGTCTGTGGTTTGAGCCTTGTGTGAATAACTTGCCCAGTGCTCTGTGAAAAATCAGGTCATTTGGGCTGGGGCAAGAAAAAGGAGCACTGAAGGCCTGAGTGACTTTTGTTATTAGTCCTAGACATCTTAGAGTGTTGAAGTGAAATTTAGCAAAGAATTTGAGAAGAACCAACGGGTGTTTTCTCTCCAATATATTATTAACTAACTGTGCTAGTAAAGACTGTTTCTGAGACCCTTAGTTCTATTTAATGAGATATCTATTGCCTGGTAATTATCATAGAGCTGACACTGTGGTGCCACTCAAAATCAATCACTACCATACTAGGACGTTAAAGACTACATAAAGTCCTGTAGTTCAGTTTTATTTTCCCATGTCCACCCCTGTTCAGTGCTCACTGTGGTTAGAACAAGGAGACTAAGAAAGGGAATGCTGTTTTTCTAGTAAAATTTCGGGTGCTTTCTTTTCTCTCCCTTTGCATTTTACATTTTGTTTGCTGATTCAAAAAGATTCAAGAGAAGGTATAAGAAAGGATTGTACTTCACAGGGCTCTAATGAAAGTGCACAATATATCAAGCTATACTGAATTTGATAGTATATGTAGGGTAGAAAAACGGAGTTGTCTTCATACAAAATAATTATTAAACCATCCTTTTGACTTTGAAAAATGACATTCCAAAACTTTGACCTTGGAGTTGCTCAATATAGGGAAGAATTTTATGTGAAACAGCCTGTCCTGAGTATTATTTCATATTTTTACAACACAAAGAAAGAGGCTCTTTTTAATTGCATTTTTGACTGATGTTTGTGTGATCGAGTTATTTATTTATTCAGAGTTATTTATTCAGACTGCGCAACTAAGTTGACATGTTTTATTTACAGTGTAGTTCTAGCCTCCTTGCATTGCTACCACAATAAAATCAAGTTGAGACAGCAAAGTATTAAATCACAAGCAAAGACCATCAGGATCATGATCCTTTGACTGTAGTATGCTTTAGAATTACGTGTCTTTAGAAGTTCTTTCTAAGAGTGTTGTCTGTTTTAGAGATTTTTTTCTAACCTAACGAACTTTAACCATAAACTAGTAAAATTAGAAAAAAAAACAAAACCAAAAATGCTTAGTATTAAGCAATTTCTATTTAAGGCTGAAGTTAACTGAGAGCACAGAGGAAGTCTTATCTAATTATTTGTTACAGGCATTTTCTGTCCTTCTAAATGCTAACATTAGTACTGCAGATGTGACTGTTTAGCAACAAGAGAAAATGGAGTGAGTTTGGAAATCCATTCTCAATGCTGTGAAAAATAATCACATAATTGTAAAGGTCGTTTCTGTCTTAGTATTATTGTAATTTAATATTTATGTAAGCCCTTTGTAGACGTGAGAAAGAAATAAAGGCCTGAGTGGTCGCTGCCCTGAAGAGACTACCCTTTTTCAATTAGAAATAAACCAGGCAGACCGTGTGAAAAGAACAAAGACAGCTAAACCTTATACAGACAATTAGATAGGAGCGACACTTAAGGGTGTGAGCACTTTTTATCTTTGATTTACATCCCGCAAAAAAAGTCTGGTTGCCTCACAGCCCCACACTCCTTCTAGTGTGCAAAGGCTCCTCCGGTCCAAGCAATTCACTGGATGTTTAGAGGACAGTTCAGGGGGACAAGCACGGATGAGAGACAGAGACAGTGCTGTTCAGCATCTTCGTTAGTGACTCGGACAACGGCATTGAGTGCACCCTCAGCAAGTTTGCCGACGACACCAAGACCAAGCTGTGTGGTGCCGTGGACTCACCTGAGGGAAGAGATGCCATCCAGAGGGACCTTGACAGGCTTGAGAAATGGGCCAGTGCAAACTGCATGAGCTTCAACAAGTCAAAATGCAAGGTCCTGCACTTGGGTTGAGCCAGTCCTAGGCACAAATACAAACTGGGCACAGAGTGGGTTGAGAGTAGCCCTGAAGAGAAGGATTTGGGGGTGTTGATAGATGAGAAGCTCAACGTGAGCCGGCAGTGCGCTCATGCAGCCCAGAAGGCCAACCGCATCCTGGGATGTATCAAGAGAAGCGTGGTCAGCAGGTCAAGAGAGGTGATTCTTCCCCTATACTCTGCTCTTATGAGAGTCCACTTCGAATATTACATCAAGTTCTGGTGTCCCCACCACAAGAGGGACGTGGATCTGTTGGGGCGTGTTCAGGAGAGCCTCAAAGATGATTCGGGGCTGGAGCACCTCTGCTACGAGGACAGGCTGCGGGACCAGGGATTGTTCAGCCTGGAGAAGACTGGGGAGGGACCTTATCACTGCCTTCCAGTACCTGAAAGGAACCTACAGGAAGGCTGGAGAGGGACTTAGAAGAGTGTCCAGCAATAGGCCAAGAGGAAATGGATTTAAATTGAAGGAGAATAAGTTCAGACTGGATCTTAGGAAGAAATTCTTCAGTACGAGAGTGGCAAGACTCTGCAATAGATTGCCCCAAGAGATTGTCAATGCCCCCTCCCTGGAGATGTTCAAGGCCAGGCTGGATGAGGCCTTGAGCAATCTGATCTAGTTAAAGGTATCCCTGCCCATGGCAGGGAGGTTGGATTAGATGATCTCTAAGGTCCCTTCCAGCCTAGGCCATTCTATGGTTCTATGACTTGTGACTGAAACGTAAATGTGAAGGTTAAGACCACAAAAATATTAAGACAGTCCAAGAAAATGGATCATGGAGAAGATTGCAGGGACTACAACAGGACCTCATGGAAAGTGAGTGTGGCTGGCTTCTGGCTCAGGCTGCTTTCCTACCTCTTTTGCCAACCTCTCTGTGACACTTCGCATCTGCCTTCTCTGGAGTGGTGAAAAAGGACCTGAATGCCTAGTTTCAATGGCTGCTGTGAATACATCTCCACATGATTTTAATCGCTGTATCCATATAGTCAATGGAGAGATCGAGGTATAGTTGGGGTGGTTGAAAACATCTACAGTAGGATGAGATGCAGCAGGCCCTAGAGGTGCACATTTCTCTCCACTGAGAATAAACAGATCCAGCAACATGAACTGAGAGGAACCATCCCTTAAGCTAGACCCATGAAAAGGGTTAGGAGGGTGACATGGCTTGAAACCAGAGTGGCAGCTCTGCAAGGATCCTGCTCAGCTGTTTGCACAGCTGGTGAAAAAACCACCAACAAAACGAAGTAGCATTTCTGTGGTAGTGTTTTATGGTGGAGAGATCTTCAGAATATCTCTGACTGTTGCAACCAGAGTGAGCTACACTTCTCCCGCTGCTGCCTGACCACAGTTTGAAAGGAATTTAGGTTTCACAGGGTCTAGGGCAACATATCAGAGAGAACACCCGCAGAGGCCTCTATTCCAGTCCAGCTTGTCGGGACATTTTATCCAATTGAAATGCAAACACTGATGTTTTTAAATATAGAGATTGCGTATGTTCTCCATGAAAAACAACAGATCAAATTCAGGCCAATGCAGGTGAGCATTAATTAATTTTAAAGAATATGTGCTTGCTTATAGTAAGAAAGTAAAAACCCTACAAGTTTGTTATTTATTACTACAGTATGGACGTGACGAAGTTAATCTTTTGCACAATGTGTTTAATTATGCCTGCCCTGATAATGGAGATGGCAAGATGCCAGCATATATATTTCTGGCACCCATAGCATTCACTGCTATACATGGCCATCATTCTATTTTTAACCTTAATTTCAGACTGAGTGCAAGACCATACATTTTAAAGCTGGGTACATAGTAAGGCTATTATTGTACAATCAAACTTTTTACTATTTTAATGAAAGAATTCGTATATTTAGTTCTCTTTCTCAGACATGCAATAGAAAAGCTGCTAATTAAAGAAGTAAATATGAAAAATTAAACTATAGTCCCGCATTTTGAATACCTCTGAGCAAGTAAGCAGTAACTCATGCATTAACCTATATACTGCTTTTTCTTCTTTTTTTTTTGGTGTTATGTTCTTAGTGACTTTACTAATGGGTAGAAGCCTGTGGTAGCTGGATTATTAAACCTCGTGTGTCCAAGAGAGATGAATTATTTCATATCTGTGGTGTCTTCTGTGAGCATTTACAGGTTTCTGCAGACTTCTGAAAGGCCATGAAGTATTTCAGTGTCACTGTGGAGTTATACGGTGTAGCTACCTTGCTGAGCACTTTCCAAGTCCCATGGTGTAAATTATTGCAACTCATCGCTTACTGCAAGTTTTCATCTGACAGTACAATCAGATACAATGTTTGAGTGCTTTAAAAGCTACCTGAAAATACTATTTGATTCCAAAAGGAGAATTTATTCTGCAATAAACTGAAGAAATTCTGAAGTGGCTGAGTGGAATAAACAGAAGCCAGGCAGCGCTTATGTCTA